CAACACCCAAAGTTTGGCCATTATTCTCTGTTTATGTCCACATAACTCTCACACTCTGCAGGCTACGAAAGTCACACTACACCAATCTCACGACAGTGATAGACTACGCAAGGCATGCGACCGCAGTGCGAGTCGCTGTCCGGTTCGGCCCACTCACTGTTACTGTCTGCCTGTACCCTCTTGCTGGTTGGTTTTTGCATGAAGTTGCAGCTCTTTCGCTGATCCCTGGGGGCTCGCCTGGTCGCTTTGACGGTCGTCAGTTTGTACGGAATGGGATCAATTCCTCCTTGGCCACTTGGGGCTCGCCAAATCTGTCCTCGGGTCGTCCCTGTCCCACACACTGGATTCTTTTCCCTGACCCTTCTTCTTCGGTCTGCCTATATAGCTCCTCCTATTAGACCCTCCGTGTCCCAACAGGACCTGACTCCTTTCCAATCTAACCACCCCCTCTCTTTTCCCCATCTCCAACTCCACCGAGAATTAGGAAAGAGGTTCGTCGAACTGGCGCCTTATCCCCTTGCTTGCCAAAGACAAGGCCAGCGTGTTCTGCTCTGCCCGTGCCTAAGGTCACGGCCACACTCCCAAAAGCAACAGAGCTTTTATCTGTCGGATGCAAGGGCCTAATAATGCACTTGCATACAACACAGCACCCCTAAGGAATCGTGCACACATCCCATACAAACCACCAGGAAAACACAGAGTTACATGAAATAACAGGGAGTTTGCAGGCAAGCTGGTGCTAATTAATCATAATGTAAACTGATACTGTAGTGCAGAAATATTAACACACTTTTAAGTCACACTTACATTATAATTGACATAGTTGCACGCAGCTGTTTTCTTGCCTTTTATTTTAAGAAGTAAAGAATGTAATATGTTCCATCCTCTACGTGTGCAGGTGACAGCGGCTACCCCTTGGAGCCTTGGCTCATCACCCCTGTCCCCGGGATCCACGCGACCTCCACCGCTTGCGGCCGGTTTAATAAGGCGCATTCCTCGACCAGGCCTGTTGTGGAGCGCTTCATCGGGCTGTTGAAAAACAGATTCCGGTGTGTGCAAAGGCACCGGGCTCTGTATTACCACCCTTCAACAGCCACCGCCATTATTTCGGCATGTGCAGTGCTCCACAACATCTGCCTTGCATCGAGCGAGCCAGAACCGGAGTCAGACCCCGACCCTGAACAGTCAGAGTTGGAGTCTGAGCCGAGCTCGGACGGTTCTGAGCCGAGCTCGGAGAGGTCAGCGTCGGCTCCCGAGAGGCTGGCTCCTGCCAACCCTCCGGTCGGCCTTCCGGTCGGTCTCTCGGACAGGGGGAAGGCTCTGAGGCAGCGCCTTGTCGCCCGGTTCGGAACCCGCCGCAGACGTGCCCGTGCGGAGCGCCACACGCAAGGGGTCCGCCGCCACGACGGTAGTCCCGACCACCAGGGACACCGTCGGGAAGCCCCTCAGCGCCCTCGCTGCGGTGGTGCCCAGCACAGACGCCGCCAGCGACAGGGAACCTCTCGCCACCACGACTGAGGTCCTGACCACCAAGGACCCCGTCACATCCTTGCCCTCAGTGAAGCCCTCCCCGTGGAAGCCGTAAAGTGCACACTTCGCTTCCTGCTCCACAGTCATGGCCGTCCACAAGCTGCATACTCTCTTCAGCTCCTACACCTTGTGAAGTTCGTCGCACAGCCAGCGTGCTGCCTCCGGATATGTGTCGAGTGCATCGCGGTGAAATCGATACAGCCTTTTTTTTAATTTTTATGAGCAGAAGGCACGAGACGCAGTCGACAGTGACAGAAACGGTCCGGAGGTTTAGTTGCCAGACCAACAGGTCATCTGGATTGCCCCTGCAAAGAACTCAGAAGTAATTTAGACTACCTCTAGAAAGAAATGCTTGCTTTTGCAGAGATTGCTTTCTTAGTTGCTGATTGAACCAGGGATAGTGTTGTCATGGACATTGTTTCATTTTACAAATGCTTCAAAGCGTCTTGCCTTCTGCTCCATTTTATTATCTCTTTTATGGTACTTCATCAAAGTTAGGTGATTGTGTTATCTCAAGACAGTGCACATGTAGTTTGTTTTGAAAATTGCTTTATTTCTTAAAGAAAAACCTGTGACTTCATGAATAAAAGTGTGATAACATGGAATGTAATATTTCATTCTTGGAAGTAAAACTGAGCATCGACTGGAACCATGTAAGCAATTGGGCAATCTTAAGTATATATCACAGATATCTTGTTGAACACTCTGGTCTTATTTGAGCACAATAGTTAAATTTCAAAAGGAAAAAAAATATATATATATATATTCTCTGACTAGCATACCACCATATAAACACTGGACCACTTTGAAAGAATTATCACAGATGTTGCGCCAAACATTCTTATTTGAGCACAGAAATAGCAAGTTCTCGATAGATAAAAAAATTGTTTCTGACTAAAGCAGCCGTCACTCGCGCGCTCCCCGTTGGTTCCGCCGACCCCTCCGCTGCCCCCGGCACACCCGGCTCCTCGTGGTTCGACATTTTGGTTTGAAGAAGGCGCGTAGCGCACATCCCGCATAATATTGGAACAACTTTCTCTCCAATTAATTCTTAAGTGTATTGCAAAAGGGTACAAAAAAGCGGTTTGTTTTAACAACGCCCAAAAGGTTTTGATTGTTTTTCAATACTTTTACCTGTACTAGAACAGATGCGACGGCCAGCGACGCACAGGATTGGTTGCCGTTCCTTCGCTAAACGCAGGAACTGCTCCCCGCGTCGTAGTAAATCCTACCCCGTATCCCGCGCGTAGGGACGCCTCAGGGAATGCGTAGCTACTTCCGCTCGTCGGTGGTTGGCTCCGGACGTCGCTGAAACGGGTGACGGGTGTCAAGTTTGCGATGACGTAGCGGCGTCAAAGTGGGCAGAGCCGCCACGTGAGTGTTGCTAGGATACGCTCCTCCTTTGCATTACGTCACTTCCATGTACCTTTTCTCAAATGTCCAACCTAGCGATCCAGTACTACCACAAAGAAAAGTGCTACGGTGCCACGTTCGGGAGAAGCATCCCGAATCAGCTTCGTCTTCTCCGCTCACGGCACATCTTCCATCTGCCACGAATTCTCCTAGGGCTTGGAACCACAGCGCCACTCGCAGCCATTTGCGTTGACCACCTTCACGCGGCCCATTGTAAGCGGGCGCCGCTCTTGCCACTAAGTCCTCTACAACACTGTAACGCAACGATCTGGACGTTCTAAGCTCTGTGTATGGCTTAAATACTTTCGACTTTTTACGACTGCGTATACGACAAATTTGGCGATGTATTTGACGACAGGAGAACAGCGTGCGCAAACCGGATAGAACTTGCGGGGGGGGGGGGGGGGGGGAGGGGGAGTGCTTTTCACGGCTGTGACGAGTCGTGATGACTGGAAAAGCCGGGCAAATCGGTTGACGTCACGCAATGTTTAGCTGTTGTTGGTCTGAGTGTCTACCCGGTCGGTGAAACATTCAGCCAGTGCGCTGCCAGTGCTAGCCTGAGGTATCCAGCCTGCTTCACGTTGTGGTGGTACAAGATCGCACGGAGGTACGATATATGCTTATCCAAATGGAAACGGGTATGGCCACCCTAATTCCGAATATTCTACCCAGGATTTCTTGGGTTTGAAGCAGGAGCATACGCTCGAAGTACTCTCAGCAGATGTCCATTAACAAGACAGGCTATTGAACTCCCCAGGAATACCAAATTGTAATATTTGCATGAGTTTCTACATATTAATTTGTTTTCGTCCCACCTAAAGCTGTTTTATGATAGGATTAGACAAAAACAACAAATAACAGTAATAGTAAGTCAAGGGCACTCTACTACCTACCGGGTTTTTATTCAGATATGATAGCATAGTAAATGACGTAGATGGCATTTTACATGGAATTCTGCGCGTGGAATCTGGCGAAGACGGCTCTAATATACTGCGCTCGCCTCTAAGCTCACAGCGCGTTGGGAGCGCGATGCACGTTTGACCGGTCGTACGCGTATCTTTCGTCACGTGATCACATACCCAAGCAGCAGAGGACATATTCAAGTGATGAGAGGGAGGCGGTTGATTGCTCTGGGGTCAACGGAGTATAGAAGCAGCCACTGCCATCCAACATCCGCGTCTCTTGACGTTCAAATACAATTTAAGACTCTTTTAGCTCGAAGACTAGGTTTTTTTTTTTTCTTTCGAATACGGTACGAAAATAGCGAATAAGCATGATCATCATCATGGCGTTTAATGTCGATAAACATTGCGTGTGGTACGGCGTTGTTGAAAAATATCATTCGTAATCGAAGCGACGTTCGCTAAAAATGAGAGTAGCACCAAAGCTTTAGGTTCCCCTAAACAGCTTGGAGTGTTGTACTGCAATCACGTACCTTCTCCGCATGCGCATTACGACAGCCCAAGCTGGTTCGGTGACCCATATTGCTGGTACCCCTATTATGAAACCCATTATTAAATTTCCCGCGAAAGGGGCATCAGTCTCTGTCACTTAAAGGGATGCTGAACCAAAGATTTTAGAAACTAAAATGCTTGGTCCAGCATTTCTTCAATGCTCGTGTGTTCGTTCTATCAGGAAGGCGCAACACCTCGAACCCGAAAACATTGCAGGATCAACAACTATCAAATTCGAAACAGAAGGTTGTATTATGGACGCGCAGAATTAAGTGTCGTTTGTTCAACTCTAAAACTGTGGACCGTGTCCTACAGTCTGCAGACCATAAGACACGACCGTCCATAAAACATATAGAACACCTCTGGTCGTTCATATATCATCATATAATTTTCGTTCATAGGCCGTAAGTCACGCATGCCAGTCCGTAGACCTTAAGCCACATGTGCTTGTCCTTAGACCTTAAACCACTGTGGTCCTTCATGGACTCTAAACAGTTGTGGTTGTCCATAGCGAGAAGTGTTCTGTTGGTGTTCTTCCTATGCGACCCCCGAGCAATGCTGCACGGACAACAGGCAAACACGTCTCTCGTGTCTTCTTCGCAGTACGAGCTGGGCACAAGCCTGGAGCGGAACTTCATCGATCCACTGGAACGCGAGCTGCGCCGCGTACGGCAACACGAGTGCGTCGACGCCTTTCTGCTCCACTCCAAGCAGTGGCGGATCCTGGCGCGACAGCTGGACAACGAACGAGGCTTAAATGACGACGCCACCAATGCGACGGCATATTGATAAACATATAGGAACCGCACCTAGAAGGCGTTATCGACTGGTGTGTTTAGCCTTTTATTCCGCCCGTGCATAGAAATTGTGATTTTGAAGTGGCTACAAATGACGCCACGAAAAAGGAACATTATGCTGTGTTATCTCGCGATCCTGGCGGTTAGGCGTAGACATTCTTGGGAGGAAATTGTTTGTTTTCCCCCGTGGAGTCATGATGTTAGGTGCCTCCCTTGTCCGGTTGCCGTGACGCCCCAGTCACCACTGCTAGATTCCGTCGTTTAGCTAGTTTAGCTGTGCCCCGACACGCTGCGTCGAAAACACTTGCGCACTACTGGGCCCGGTTGGTAGGCCGAACGGTTCGTTAAGCGCTTCGGAGGGTGGGCTTCTTGATCTCCCCCATGATCGCGGCTCCGCACCGAACCCAAAGTGGTCGTAGCGGTCTCGTTATATCTAAACACCTTCTGAAAATATATCCGCCGCACTGCCACCTCTGCCCTGCTCACAAAAATAACATTTTTCCCCGGCGATTTGAAATCGCCGCCCCCGCACACGCCGCGACCAGATGGACACGAAGCGTCAACCCCGAGAGTGTCCGTCGGTGTTGCCTGACTGCGCTGGGCTGTGGGTTTTCGAGTCAGTGGGCTGTGGCAGCCTGTGTAGGCGCAATTCCGGACGCTGGAGGAAGCTAACCACTTGCCGTGTTCTGTTTTAGAGCGCAGCTCTTAGGCGCCCGTTTCCGGCTTGAGCGGCGTCGCCGTCGGCCTAACCGCGCGGTGCTTTATGGGTAAATTTCCCTGCTAAATATAGCGGAAAAATTTCCCCGCTAAATTTAGCGAAAAATTTCCCCGCTAAATCTAGCGGAAAAATTTCCCCACTACATCTAGCGGAAAAAATTTCCCCGGTAAATCTAGCGAAAAAATTTCCCCGCTAAATCTAGCGGAAAAATTTCCCGGCTAAATCTGACGCAAAAAATTTCCCCGCTAAATCTAGCGGAAAAATTTTCCCGCTAAATCTAGCGGGGAAATTTTGGTCACATGCCCGGGGGGGATCACGTGACCTGGGGAGTCACGTGACCGCACCCCCTAAGTCACGTGACACCCCGAGGTTACGTGACCCGCATCCGAGATCCCGTGACCCCCTCCCGAGGTTACGTGACCCTTTCCCCTATGTCACGTGACCCCCCCCCCCCGCGAAAACACGTGGCCCTCAGTACCCTTCCCTCCTCCTCCTCAAGAGCTGCGCTCCAAATTGGCGTTATAGGGAGTTGTAAACGGCTTTCACTTTTTAATGTTGTGTTCTATGGCAAATAAAATTTCGTCGGGTTTTTAAAAATGCATTCTACTATTTTTGGTAAAAAAAATGAAGAAATCAAAGCTGCTTTGGTAAGTCCGCGCTTGAAAGAACAAATGCAACTGGAATGTCTGTTTTATATTATGTTGATCATTTTACGGCATCAAACATTCAGTCGTGTCAAACTACAAAGCTCTTAACCGCCGAAAATATTTAACCACACAGGATATCCGAACTGCATGGATATTTCCCGCTCACAACATAGAATTCAACGAGTCTCATGAATCGAACAACATATATTGTACGTACCCCACGGTGCCGCGTTATACGAACAGGATTTGAAGATCTCAAATAACCCAGCATATTCAATATACTGTGTCGACGACAGTCACTTCACGACGATCGGATGGAATCCGGCGTGATTTAGGGCACATGTAGAAGAGAGCTGCTTTTTCCACAGCTTCAAAGCAAATCACCGAACATGTCTATTCCGCCGCCACACCCGCACCCGACCATATGAGCTATTTTTCGCGAAGACCCGGATCATAGCCAGGAAGGCCTTTTGGAGATTATCTCAACGGAAATAATCCTCAAAGAACGTCGAACTGCCCGCGTGGCGGGCTGCCTGACGTTCGCTCTCTTCGTTCGTTTCCTGCGAACGCCAAGCAGGCTAAGAGTCCTGGTATTCCCTGGCTCTCACTGTGGAAGATAACACTCAAAGGGTAAGTATGCTAACCAGGCAAATGAACTAAAAACGTCCAAGAAAAGCCGGCGAACGCCGAACGCACAATGTAGGTGAGGAGTCACGCTGACCGGGTTTCCACAGCTCAGGCGTGTTTTAGAATTTTCTGGCTGATAGGGTTCGCTCGTTTCGCAAAATGGCGGAGGCCAGGGAGATCTTTTTTCCAATGTCTATACCCGAATTGTGACGCAAGGGACAAAGGGTGAAACGTGCTTCTTGGAGCACTCGGACTTCGGTGATGGGTCGTTGTTGGTGTGGCGGCACATCGTGCCCAGCCTGAACGGACATGTGTACCCGACTTCGGTGTCGAAGCGTCCGGCGGCTGCTTTTAGGCAATGAGCGGTGTTGTGATAATACGGGATGGCTACGAATTTCGGCCGAGCAGAATCCTGGGTAGCGGGCCTTTCGGTTAATAACCTTTTCAGTGTGGCCGACAGCAGGTCGCGGGGATATCCGGCCTTTATCAATCGACCGATGTGGCCCCCCTGGCTAAAGGCCAAGAGGTGATGGCAGGACTTGGAGCGGGAGGACGAGATTAGATTTTTTACGATCCCCGCCTTGACTGTCATGGAGTGGTTGCTCGCAAATAGAAGCACAGGCTTCTGCGAACGTCGTTGGAAGCTCTAGCAGATGCCTTCCGCCGAGGAGATCAGGCGCAAATCCAGGAACAGGAGACCCTTTGCTGAGGCGTCTTCTCTACTGAAAGTTAGGCCCCGTGCATTGGCCCTACAAACCTGCTGCATGGTAGCTGCGGAAAAACCGGAGTCGGGAAGTACAGTGTAGTCATCGCATACCTCTATACTTGTGTTCCCGGGGCCATGCTGTCGAGTTGTGTTCTAGCGGCTTGGTCGACAAATGAGAGGTACACCTCGTTCAGCGCCGGCGCCGGGCAGGAGCCAGTCCAGATGCCGGAATGTTTGGGCATATATACTTCCGTCGTGTTATATGAGGGTGGAAGGGAAGTAGACGGCGATGAGCTGCAGGAATCCGTTGTGGGAGATTCCGGACGAGTCTGGAATTTGACACAGGTTTGTATTGTGAGCGCTTCTTCTACCGAATGAATGGGAATTTGGATGTCTAGACTGTAATACATGTCTGTGATGACGAGAGAAAAGACTGATGTCTTTTTCCCTGAAAATTGGAGAAGTTGTATAGCTGGGAGGACCTCCCGTGAGTTGTCGACACGGAAAGGTTGATCTAGAGGGATGGTCGTCAGATGTTTCTGCAGAAGAGCGCCGCGCAACATTTCGTCGCAGTTACTGCTTCTCTCGGAGAGAGGGATGACTCTCCTGGGGCCATAGCTGGTGACCTTGACAGCCCGGACTGGCGGGCGTTGACTCACACAGAGTTTTTGGGACGAGGTGCCTGTTCACGCCAAGCGGCAACTCTTCTCTCCCCCCCCCCCCCCCCCCAACCCAACCTTCCTTACTTCCATTCCCGCTTCTAGCTCTTTTCTTCGCTCTTCCCCTTCCACCTTCCTCATCCCACTCCCCCTCCCTTTCACTCTTCCTAGCCCCCTCTTTCTCGCTGTTTCCATCGTTCCCACTAACCCTTTCCCCGAATTTTCGGCAGCTCGTTCTTGTCGGCCTGGCAATACAAAACAGCAGCGTGTTAAAACTCGAAAGATGTTTGTTTTGTCCGGCCGCTTTGTCTAACTCTTTCGGATGTTGGACTGTAAATGCTTTCGCATTAAATGCCGGAAAGAATGCGAGCGTCGCTGTCGTCGAAGCACCCAACAGCTTCCAATGCTTACATGGCCAGCCAAGCTTGAGAGCAACCTGCAGCAGAACGGTTATCTGCCACATCTACCACTGCTGTTCTAGCCTCGTCCCACTAGAGCGACAAACGCCGGTTTTTGTACGGAGATACCACAAAGTTCCTTGTCGCTGATGCTGCCCCACTGTAACGACTAACACCTCCGACGAGCACCGAGGAGCGTAGACAAAAGATTGACGAAGGACAAGTTTTTGTTTGTCGTTGGACTTGAAGCGCCTCAATCAGTCCCACCAAGGAACATCTGTTGGAGACGAATTTATGATCCTCGTCCGCTTGTACCCTCTATCGCCAACCTTCCCACCCTTCTACCCCTCCTCCTGTTCTTCCTGTGACTCTGACCACCGCTCGACCTTCAGAGAAGGCCTTGGCGGCCACTAATCGTTCCCGCAGTTCCTTTTCATAGATTGCTGGTAGTTGTAGTTTGCTTGCTCGTGGTCGTGTTGCGAAATGGACCGTGCTGTGCCTAGTTGTGCTTGCAAAAACCTGGTGCCCGAGGTGATGCTTCAGGTCGCCGAGGTATACGCTCCTGTGTCAGGATGGATACACGGACGTTAGAGGACTGACAAAAGTAGGACCGCTCACCATGAAGTAGGACACGACGTTCGGCAAGCTATTCCGGTAGACCAAAGACTTGTCATCACGTTCTGTGATATTCGGGATGCCGTATGTCCCACAAAAAACGCCTGCCCTCGATCTAGGGGCTGCGGAGCCGGGGGAGCAGTGGGGTAGTCGCTCCCACAGGTTCTAAACCAGTGGGGGCATGCCCCCACAAAATAAAAGCTGCTCCGACTGCCCCACCCCCTCCTTTTCCCCTCCCATTGCCCATGAGGCTGTTGCATTTGAAGCTGTACTCCATAAATGACGAGGCGCCACACGCTAATATATATATATATATTGTCAGCACGTTTATTGCGGAACTCACGGGGCGAGCTGACGGGGCGAGCTGACGGGGCGACCGTTGGGGTGCTTGCTCTGGCGGAGTATCCCAGGCTAGCTCTGCCTGGCGCGAGTCTCCTGCGCTCGTGCCGCGTGCTGTGTCGACCAGCTCGCGTAGCCCGGCGCCTCTAACATATGCCCCCCCCCCTGTGGGGAAAGGCCATCCTGGCCATTTTCGTGGCGGTGGTAGGCTTTGATTCGTGTGACGTGGACGACGTCTGGATCGCGGGTTCGGGCGTCAGTTGGTGGATTCAGAAGCTGGACCAGGTAGTTGACGGGTGACGTCTGCCGGACGATGCGGTAGGGTCCCACGTAGCGCGGTAAAAACTTTTGGCATAAACCAGGCTTGCGCAGGGGAAAGCGACGAGGACCTCGTCTCCAGGGGAGTAGTTGACGTTGCGATGAACTTTGTCGTAGCGTATTTTTGATTGTAGCTGTTGGTCTGATATGCGAGAGCGGGCTAGTCGGCGGCATTCGTGAGTATGG